CAAAAATCAAACATCCCTTTTTTATGTAAACTCCCAGGAAATTAGGTATAGAGGGAACATACTGCAACATAATAAAGGCGTATACTAGAAACCCACATCATAGTCAGTAGTGAAGAGATGAAAGCTTTTCCTCTGAGGTCAGAAACAGGACAGGGATGCTTACCCACGCCACTTTTATTCAATATAGTATTGGAAATCCTAGCCAGAGCAGTTAGGGAAGAAACAGGAGTAAAAGGAATTCACATTGGAAAGGAAGAAGTAAAATTGTCACTATTTGAAGATGACATGGTACTCTCTCTATATATAAATCTCTAAAAAATCCAGCAAGAAATTATTAGAACTAATAAATGAATTCAGTAAAATTGTAAGATACAAAATCAATACAAAAATCTGTTGTTTCTGTACACTAATAATAACCTATGAGGAAGAAAAATTAAAAAACAATTGCATCAAAAAGATTGAAACATCTAGAGATACACATGACCAAGGAGATCAAAGACCTGAAAACTATTAAGACACTGATGAGAGAAATTAAGAAGACACAAATAAGTGGGAAGATAGTCTGTGCTCATGGATTGGGAGAATTAATATTTTTTAAATGTCCATGGTACTGAAAGGAATCTATGAATTCAAGTCCGATCTCTGTCAAAATTCCAGTGGGAGTTTTCGCAAAAATAGAAAATATAATTCTAAAATGGGTATGGAACCACAGAAGATCCCTAATAGCCAATGAAACCTTGTGAAAGAACAAACCTGGTAGCGTGATGCTTCCTGATTTCAAGTTGTATTACAAAGCTGTAGTAATCAAAACAGTATGGTATTGACATGAAAAGATTAATAGAATTGAGAACCCAGAAGTAAACCCACACTTATGTGGTAAATTAATTTGATAGTCAAAAACATACACTGGGGAAAGGACTGCTAAATGGTGTTCAGAAACCTGGACAGAGGGATCCCTGGGTGGCGCAGCGGTTTGGCGCCTGCCTTTGGCCCAGGGCGCGATCCTGGAGACCCGGGATGGAATCCCACGTCGGGCTCCCGGTGCATGGAGCCTGCTTCTCCCTCTGCCTGTGTCTCTGCCTCTCTCTCTCTCTCTGTATGACTATCATAAAAAAAAAACAAAAAACCCCGACAGACACATGTAAAAGAGTGAGACTGGAACACTGCCTTAGAACATAGACAAAACTGAACTCAAGATGGGTTAAAGGCTTGAATGTAAGATTGGAAACCATAAATATCCTAGGAGAAAACGTAGGTGGTGAGCTCCTTGACGTACCCTGGTGTGGATTTTTTTGTTTGATACCAAAAGCCAAAACAACAAAAGCAAAAATCAACAAGTAGGACATCAGACCAAAACATTTCCCTACAGCAAAGGAAACCATCAACAGAATGAAAAGTCAGCCTACCAAATGGGAGAAAATATTGCCACTTCATTTGTTGGGGTTGGGGTTGATACCCAAAATCTGTAAAGAACTATAACTCGGCATCTGGGTGTCTCAGTGGTTGAGCTTCTCTCTTTGACACAGGGCATGATCCCAGGGTCCTTGGATCAAGGCCCACGTCGGGCTTCCTGCAGGGAACCTGCTTCTCCCTCTGCCTGTTTCTTTGCCTCTCTCTCTGTCTCTCTCTGTCTCTCTCTGTCTCATGAATAAATAAATAAAATCTTTAAAAAAAAACCTCACATAACTCAATTACAGAATAACTAGTTTGCTTTAAAAATGAGCAGAGAAAAAGAAAAAAATTAAAAATAAAAATGAGCAGAGAAAAAGAAAAAATTAAATAAAAATGAGCAGAGGATCTGAATAGACATTTTTCAAAGAAGACCTACAGATGGCCAAACAGATATGTGAAAACATGAAAAAGTCAAGGAATGGAAATCGGTACTACAATGAAATATCACCACATACCTATTAGGATGGCTATTATCAAGAAGACAAGAAATAAAAAGTAATGGCCAGGATGGAAAGGGAAGCCTTATGTACTGTTGGTGGGAATGTAAGTTCATGTGGTCAGTATGGAAAAGAGTATGGAGGTTCTTTCAGAGGTTAAAAATAGAACTACCACATGATCCAGCAGTTCCACTTCCAGGTATTTATCTGAAGGAAAAAAAAAAAAAACACTAAAAAAGATATCTGTACTCTCATGCTCATTGCATTATTTACAGTAGCCAAGATATGGAAACAACCCAAGTATCCATACACAGATGAATGAGTAGAGAAAATGTGATACATATATTGAAATATTATTCATTTATTAAAAAGAATGGAGGGGTTCCTGGGTGTCTCAGTTAAGCATCTACCTTCAGCTCAGGTCATGAATCCAGGATCATGAGATCCAGCCCCACGTTGGGCCCCCTGCTCAGCAGGGAGGCTGCTTCTCCCTCTCACTTTGCTTCTCCCCTCCCAGCTTATGTACACAGATGTATGCATGTGTGCACACACACGCTCTCTGAGATAAATAAAAATCTTGAAAAACAATAAAACCTTGCCATTTGTGATAACCTAGATGGACTTTAAGAGCATTGTGCAAAGTGAAATAAGTTAGGAAAAGACAAATACCATATGATCTCACTTATATGTAGAATCTAAGAAAGCCAAAAACATAAAAAAAATGACAAAGCTCAAAGATAAAGAGATCAGATTCATGGTTGCCAGAGGCCGGGTACTGGGGTTGTGTGCAATGTGGGTGAAGGGACTGAAAAGGTGCAAAATTTTAGCTTTAAATTAGTCATGGGGACGCATGGCAACTGTAGTTAATACTTAATTGCTTATTTCAAAATTGCTAAGTTGATTAAACCTTAAAACTTCATTTAACAAAAAATTTGTGGTGTGCCTGGCTGGCTCAGTCAGTGGAGCATGAGACTGTTGGTCTTTGGGTTATAAATTCAAGCCCCATGTTGGGTGTAGAGATTATTTAAAAATAAAATCTTACAAAAAAATTGTAAGTATTGTGATGAATGTTAATTAGACTTTGGTGAACATTTTGCAATATATACATATACTGAGTTATTATGTTGTATACCTGAAATATATTCTTTGTCAGTTATACATTAGTAAAAAATAATATAATCCCATATCACAGGCTCTAAGGAAAATGTACCTGATATATTGACATTCAAACCCAAATGAAAAAAAGCATTGATGTCTGATGCAGTGTGCTAAATTTATTAGCAGTATAAATTATGGAAAGTTAATAGGATCTTTTCCTGATGTCTGTACCCACAATTCTTAAGTTTTAGAGAAGAATGAGAACTATAGACTTAAGTTGACTGGCTTTTTTCACTTAAGGTGATTGATGTTTTCAGGGTTTGTTCATGTAGATATCATTACTTCATTCTTTTCATTTTGTGATTGAATAATATTCCATAGTGTGGATATATGACAATTTTGTTACTCATTTATAAGTTGATGGGCATTTGGGCTGTTTTCATCTTTTGGATATTAATGTTGCTGTAATCATTCATGTGTAAGTGTATAAGAAGGCATATATTTTCATTTGGCTGTATATCTAAGAATAGAATAGAATTACTGGGTCAAATGGAATGACCTGATGATGACTAATGATGTTAGAAATTATTTCAGTTGCTGTCTGCCCATTTGTACTTCTTTGAAGATATATCTATTTGAGGTCTTTTGCCCAGTTTTTAATTGGGTTGTCATTTTATTTTGAGTTGTAAGAGTGTCTATAGAATTTGTTTTTGATTAGATATAGTGGTAGATGCACACAGACAGCCAGTCTACCTAAACTGTAGCTGTTCCTAACAGTTTCCACTGTATCTTCAGGCAGCTGAAAAACTAAACAAAGATATCAGTTTCTATTTCTCCAGCCGCTAAAAGTACAGAGACCAGTCAGAGAGTGCCCAAATGGGAAGTGTCAAGAAGTGTCCACTGATTTTGTTCTTAGGAAATACTGAAGGTTGCTAGATCTATTCCCATGAACACATAGTAGCCCCAGACAAGAGCGCAAATGTGGTGCCAAGTGTTTTTAATCTTCGTTTAGGAGTTATGCAAACATACTGTCATGTAATGAATAATAAGGAAGTGAAGATAAGTTCATTTTGAAAGAATCCAGGAAATACAGGAACACACTCTATAAACCTGCTCTTACTATCAGATGAAAACATGTAAAGAAAATTGAATAGGAGGAAAGAGAGCTGAGAGAAAGAAAGAAGCAGCAGCTGATTATTGTGCTGAGAACTACTTTGGAAATAACCAGGAGGTGTATATAGAGGACAATCTTGAAAAATCACCTGCAAGAGCAACTGAAAAGAATCATCTGGAAGACCATGAAGAGTCAATATGATTTTTATGAAAACAGGAATAGAAACAAGATAGGCAACTATAAATTTTTTTTTTTTTTAATTTATGATAGTCACACACACAGAGAGAGAGGCAGAGACACAGGCAGAGGGAGAAGCAGGCTCCATGCACCGGGAGCCCGACGTGGGATTCGATCCTGGGTCTCCAGGATCGCGCCCTGGGCCAAAGGCAGGCGCTAAACCGCTGTGCCACCCAGGGATCCCTCGTTTGAGTTTTTAATTCATGTATTTTACTTTAGTTCTTTTCAGTTTTCATTTCCCATTGTCATGTTTATAGTAAAAAATCTTCATTCGTTTATTTTTTCTTTTTTAGTTATAAAGTCATTTGTATATAAATATTGAGTTTTTTATGTGATTATATTTGCTTATGTTTTTTTCTATTTGCTTAGAAAGTTCTTTACTCAGTAATCAGTTAAATGTCTGTATTTTCTGCTAATATTTATGGTCTTAGTGTTTACATTTAAGTAAGTAATTAATTTGGAGTTCATTTTGGTTTTTGGTCTGGAGTAAAGATCTGATTTTATTTTTTTTTAACAAATAACCAATAATTTCCATGCCTTTTCTTGATTACCTTTCCTATTGCCTGATGGCATTTCATTTTGCATGTTTTAAAACTATTTTTGTCTTTATATTTTATTTAAATGTTTACTACGTTCTGATATATAAACTTTTTTTATTTTAGAATAAGGAGAGTTTGTCTTCTGTTATTACTGACCTCAACATAATAATGGAGCCCAGCGAATATTCAGAATTAAGTGAATTTGTGTCTAGGTAAGATATTGTAAATTTTTATTTTTTTAGGCATTGTTTTCACTCTACAGTTTTAAGTTTACCCTTTCTTTTTTTGATAAGTAAATATCAAAATGTCTCTGAAAGTATAACATTATAATGGCTTATATTTATTTCATATATATGGCTTATATATTAAGCCCATAGTCTCTATATCCTTTTTTCATTCAATGAAAATGTGTTACAGATTAACTGTGTGCTTGGCATTAAAATGTGAGGAAGAACAGATAAAATCTTTGATACATGTGGAGTTTATAGCCTATTGGTGAAGTTGTAAGGTAAATAATGGTAGAAATCTAAAATTGTGGCTGTGCTCAGTGCTGCTGAGAAGAGTTACATAATGTTAATGAAGCCTGCATCAGGAATCTGACTTTTGTGGAGAATACAGACAGCATCATTTCCTGAAAATTGAGCCAACATCTGAAAAATGTGTAGGTGTAAACTAACAAAGAGGTCCTCGACACAATAGTTGTGTGTAGGCACTGTGCAAGGAGGGAGCATGCTGTCAGTGAGCAACTGACAGGAGGTGAGAGTGACTGGGCAGGGTGCCAGCTGGGGCGTGCTCTGACATGAGGCCTGCCGAGTACGTGAGACCCTAGGAGATGGAGCCCCAGAGTTTTCTGCCAGTGGGTAGAAGTTAAAGCCTTGCGCTCGAGGAATGAGATTGCCTATGGAGAGAATAGAGAGAAATAGGGGACCGTGTGGAATTCTGACTGTACTGTGCTGAAGGAAGAGAGGGTCCAGTAGAGAAACTGGACTAGGAACAACCGTATGAGAGTTGGGAGGAAAACCAGGAATGTGGTGTTGACGACTGACAACTGGAGTGGCAGTTTTTCTTCCACATCTTTGAAGATACTCCTTCCATGTCTTCTGGATTACATAGGTCATGACAAGAAGTCTGCTGTAATTGTTAATTTTGTCTTTTGGGACTTGAAACCTTTTAATGTTTTTCCACAGTTTGTGTTATTTCTAGGGTGTGTTAGTGTGAAAATTCTAAACCACATCTTTTCAAATACTTCTTCTGTTTTCTATTCTTCAGCAGTGCTCATTGCACATATATCAGGGCATTTGGTATATTGTCTCAGTTTGAATGCTTTGTTCTATTTCTTTTACTCTTTCTTTTTTCTTTGCATTTATTTCAGTTTGGATAATTTCTATTACTCTATCTTTGAGTTCACAGATTCTTTCCTTAGCTGAAGTCCCACCTGCCAGTGAGCCCATTGAAATAATTCTTCACCTCTAATATCATGTTTTTAAAGATTTATTTATTTTTCATGAGAGACAGAGAGAGAGGCAGAGACACAGGCAGAGGGAGAAGCAGGCTCCTTCTGAGCCCAGTGTGGGACTGGATCCCTGAGCTTCAGTATCATGCCCTGAACCTAAGGCAGACAGACACTCAACCTCTGAGCCACCCAGGCATCCCACTGAGCCACCCAGGTGTCCCTAATGTTATGTTTTTAAGATTTTATTTTATTTATTCATGAGAGACAGAGGCAGAGAAACACAGGCAGAGGGAGAAGCAGGCTTCCTGCAGGGAGCCCAATGTGGGACTCGATCCCGGGTCTCCGAGATCATACCCTGGGCTGAAGGCAGACACTCAGCCGCTGAGCCATCCAGGTGTCCCTCATTTAATTTTTAATTTCTCTCTCTCTACTGAAATTCCCCACTTGTTGATACATTTGTACAACTTTTCCACTAGGTCTTTTAACATATTGATCATAGCTATTTTTTCTTTAGTGTTTCATTTTGCAAGTTTTCATATCTATGTAAAAATAATAGTATAAGTAACCTGTAGCTGCACACCTTCAACAATTATCAATATCTTACCAATCTTATTTCATATCTTGGCACACACATTTTTAAAGTTTTAATTTTGAAATAATTATAGATTCACAGGAAGTTATTAAACATTTTTTTCAAGGAGATTCTACATATCCTTCATCGAGCCTCTGACAATGGTTATGTCTCATGTCATTAAAGTATATCCACACGTCCAGAAAATTGACATTAAAAAAAAAAAAAGAAAAGAAAATTGACATTAGTAAAACCCATAGAGCTTTTTCAGGTTTTACTATTTTTATAAACACTTATGTATGTGTGTGTGTTCTATGCAATTTTATCACTTCTGTAGCTTTGTAAATCCACCACAACATTCAAGATACAATACTATTTCATATGTCTTTGTACTAGATCCTTTTCCCTCCCTCATTTTTAAAATTATGGTAAAATACATATAACTACCTTCTAACCATTTTTAAGGGTACAGTTCAGTAGTGTTAAATACATTCAGGATTTTTTTTTTTTTAAGATTTTATTTATTTATCTAAGAGAGCACAAGTGGGGAGAGAGAGAAGTGCTGAGCAGGAAGCCTGATGCAGGACTCGATCCCAGGATCCTCTGGGATCATGACCTGAAGGTAGACAATGAACCACCCAGGCACCCCCAGAATGTATTTAACTGTGTGTGCACCATGATCTATCTTCATAACCCTTTCATCTTGTAAAACTGAAACTCAATATGCATCAGTCACTTCCCATCTTCCTCTCCACTCAGCCCCTGGCACCTTCCATTCTTATTTTTGTCTTTTTGACTTTTGATCAAGGTTATTTTAATATCCCTGTCTGATAGTGCCAACGTCTGGGTCATCTTTGAACCTGATTCTGCTGAATCTGGATTTTTTTTTTTCCTGAATTTTTGTATGTTATGATCTTTTCTTTTCTTTTCTTTTCTTTTCTTTTCTTTTCTTTTCTTTCTTTTCTTTTCTTTTCTTTCTTCCTTTCTTTCTTTTCTTTTCTTTTCTTTCTTCCTTTCTTTCTTCCTTTCTTTTCTTTCTTTCTTTTCTTCTTTCTTTTCTTTCTTTCTTTCTTTCTTTCTTTCTTTCTTTCTTTCTTCTTTCTTTCTTTCTTTCTTTCTTTCTTTCTTTCTTTCTTTCTTTCTTTCTTTCTTTCTTTCTTTCTTTCTTATTTTATTTACTTTTTCATGAGAAACAAAGAGAGGCAGAGACATAGAGGAAGAAGCAGGCTCCCTGAGGGGAGCCTGATGTGGGACTTGATTCTGGAACTCCGGGATCATGACCTGAGCTGAAGGCAGATGCTCAACCACTGAGCCACCCAGGCATCCCTCTTTCTTTTTTTTTTTTAATTGTATAATGGACATTATCTGTGGAAAACAGAGACTCAAGCAAATAGTGTTTATGTTGAGAAGTGGACACATTTCTTTTATCATGCTGTTAGTGTGAGGTTAATCAAAGGTTTTCAGCAGTTGAGCTGTGTTTGAGATTTTGATTGTTTTCCATTGTCTTCAGGCTCCATATCACCGCAGGTTTCAAATTCTTCCAGCTGTGGATGCAAATTCAAGTTCAGTTCTTCCTTATGCTTAGAATGGGGTTTTGGGAGCTGGAGGGTTCTCCTCGGTGTTCCAGGAGCTTTCTGCCTTTCTTTCTTTCTTTCTTTCTTTCTTTCTTTCTTTCTTTCTTTCTTTCTTTCTTTCTTTCTTTCTAAGATTTTATTTATTCATTATTTATTCAGACAGAGGGGGGGGGCAGAGACACAGGCAAAGGGAGAAGCAGGTTCCATGCAGGGAGCCCAATGTGGGTCTTGATCCTGGGTCCCCAGGATCACACCCTGGGCTGAAGTTGGCGCTAAATCGCTGAGCCACCTGGGCTGCCCTCTTTCTGCCTTTCTTAGGGGACCATCTCTCCACACACTGGACCTTCCCGCAGTGGCAGTTGTAGATGCTTATTACTCGTGCCATGCTCATGGTAGGAATAATGGGACTTCTGTATTTTCATGATCCACCGCCACTCTGGGCTCTCCAGTGTTGCTGCTTCTCCTCCCAGTGTAGCCAAAGCCAGCCTGCATCTGGGCTTGGTCTTGGGCAGGAGAGAGTTCCTTGTCCCTCTCCTTGTGGGTAGCAGATGGATGCTTGGTATTAGTGTGGGACCCTGGGCCCAGTGGGTCTCCTGGCCCTCCCAGGGAACAGGTGGTCTCTGCCACTGCCCCTCTTCCTGAAGCAGTGGATCTTTGTCTTGGTAACAGGAGTGTTTTCTGTCCTTCTACCAAAGTCGGATGGGTTTGACTTGTGCTCCTCCCTTGGAAGCAAGGGATTTTTTTCTTCATTGCTTTGCTGCCTCTTTTTTAGTGGTTCAGGGATTTTGGTACCCATGAGAGAAGAGTTCTAGCCTCATTTGGTTCCCTAGCAGTGACTGATCACCTCTTCATTTCTGTGCCACGGACAGGACCCTGGTTTCTCTGGTGGTGTCCCTTTGTGCCTGCGGTTCCTATCTATTCCAAAATGACATGCTATCTCATACATGTCCCTAAGGTTTGCTGAAATAGTAGCTAATTTCTTGCTACCTGTTTGTATGGGGGGGGCTTCTATCCTCCCCTAAGTTTAGCCAAGAGTGAACAATTTGTGTCATGTCTTTCCTTTGAGGGAGAAAATTTTTATTTACTTGGTTGCTTTGTGACTTTGGGTCTCTAATGGACTCAAGAAAGGTTATGGTTTTATAGAATATTCAGATTGGCTTGATATTATGTGCTGATGGTCTTCTCTGAGGCTTTTTATATCCTAAGTAGAAGCAGAGCTCTTTATTGATTTTTTTTTTCTTCCCTAATTCTCATTCCAGAATTTGGGACACACTATTCATCTTCTGAATCTGTTTTACCCTTTACACTTTCTATTTCTTTGTATCTTTGTATTTATTCATGATTATTCAGATCTGTATTTCAGTTCAGAAATTATTTCTTTATGTTCTAATTTGCTTTTTAACTCCCATCCACTGAATTTTCATTTTCATGGGCAGTACTTGTCATTTGTAAAAGTTGTGTCTTTTAAAAATATTCCTGTTTTTTTTTAAATACATTTTTAACAGTTTTTCCTCTAATTATTGTAGATTATCTCCTTACATATATATTCCAGTAAAGCACAATTATTTATTCAAATTATGTCTCCTCTGCTATTCAGCCCATCTGTTGATCTTT